CCCCAAAACCCCAAAACCCCAAAACCCCAAAACCCCTATTTGCAAATTGCTTTTTTAATAACTAATCTCAGAAATAATAATTAATAATACTTTACGAATATGTTGATTAAAACCAATCAGAATGCTAAAAATGCTCTAGATTTCTCGTACTAAATTATCCTAATTCAATGGTTACTCTAGATTTGAATCAGATGATACGACAGATAGGATATAAGAGGAAATAAAGAAGCTCAATAAGTAGATTCTTTCAAGCAACTAAATGCCCTACATTATGAACTAAAGAGAAAAATAGATGCATAACTAAATAACTAAAAGTCTCAGAATCATTGAAAAGAGGCAAATTGCATTTCAAAAAGTTGAAGAGGATATCAATGATCACGATAGGAAAAATATATTGTCAAGAGGCATTAAACATCGTAAGTCAAATTTAGACCAGTAGGACTAAATGCTTTCTAAATCATCTGATGGAATACCTTCAGCTAGATATGACAACAAGACATTTTAGCTTTAATTAAATGAAAACTAGCAATCCCAGCATATTATCTATCCAAAAGATGTGAGCAAGATGCTTAAAGAAAAGCATGAGTATAATAACTCTGATATTAAGTATAAGCGCAGCAACTACACTAAGTTCTAGGACGACTTGTTAAAGAGATTTGAACTTATTAAGAATACAGCTGCTAATCCAATGGTAACTGATAAACTCATGTCCCAAGCTAATCGAGTCCACTATACAGCAGTCAATCCTTACAAAAGTCTATAGCAGATTATATCAAAGTAGAAATTTCAAGTGAGACAATTTTCTCACAAAAAAACTACAGGAATTAACATGGGTCTCTCAATCGATAGAGTATTGAAAAAAGAAGATGATGAATCAGAGAACACGCAAGGACAAATTTAGCAGCAGTAGTTTCTGCCAAATACCTAAAGAAGCTAATATCCATCAATAGAAAAGTAGAAACTAGAAATTGAAGAAGCTCTTGGCTAGATGGTAATCAGCTACGGAGCAATAAAGGAGAGAATGAGGTCAAGAGTAATCAATCTTTTGGAGTAGAAGAAGTCATCTATCAGTAATCTGTAGCCAAATGAGCAAAAAATCCAGTAATTAATTTAACAATAATTGTAATAGAGAGCCAGAGATTGAGCTTATTAAACAGCTTCATAAGAAGTCTCAGTCAGTTGAAAACTTAATCAAGAGGCGCAAGACAATGAGAAAAAGTTAAATAGACCAAGTAAACTCAGAACTCATCTAACTCTAAGCACTTAATAATATGAGTTCCTTATCTCCTCAGATTCCAATTTAGGCTCTTCTAAACCCAGACTCTCAGTTTAGATAAAGACGTAAGAGTGTAAACAAAACTGTATTGGGATACAGTAGAAATTCAATAAATCTTTCCAGAATTGATGAGTCATAACTGCAAGGCAACATAAATGATAGTAGCATAAAGAATGCAATGATGGTGATCAATAGTCAAAGATCTTATTACATCGATGGCTAGTAGAGTAAAAATCGAAAGAAGAATTAAAGCTATCTAAGTAAAAGCATTAATAGCAATACCGGTGGAATGTAGAGTAGCAGGTCCTATATACATAACTAGCCCAGTGTGATTCTCAAGCCTCACCTGGGCAACCTTAGCATCAGAATATTAGATGATAGTCAAGGGCAGAATAGCTCTATACAGACTATCAATTATTTGCATTGATACAAGACTAGATTAAATGAAATAATTTTGCTTAATTTCATAAATATTTGTAACCTACCATTTAGTTAGTATAGATTACACCTGGGGTTTTGGGGTTTTGGGG